GTCAATCAGGTAGCATGGTGGATCCCAGCAAAATTGTTGAGATTCTTCCAGAGCCTGGCACAACTCTCCCCCATCAACTGAAAGTGGGCTATAGCCTGTTTTTAGCTGACTCTGGGTCACAGAAGTACAAATGTAAATGTACTCCTGTGACCTACAATAGAAGTATGGCCAAAAAACACCTTTGGTCATACTTCTCTTTTAAGCCCATACTTAAGCTTGAACAGTAAGTTGCCTGAGAAACCTAAAAATGGTGGAAGAAGAGGCAGGTTGTCCCTTAATGGGATCTTCCAAAATGCCAAAAGGTCAGTCTGACAGATATAGTTGAGGGATAAACTCGCACAGCTTGTACCGCATCCAAGCAATGGATCACGATCTCCTTAGGAGGAAAGAGAAATGGACATACAGGGGTTTATTTACTAAAGCTGGAGAGTCCAAAATCAGACTCCCTTCTGCATAGAAACCAATCAGCTTCTAACCTCAGCTTGTTCAATGAAGCTTTGGCAATGAAACCTGGAAGGTGATTGGTTTCTATGCAGAAGGGAGTCTGATTTTGGACTCTCCAGCTTTAGTAAACAAACCCCACAATGTCCTGGTTATATGTATGTGGAGTGTAACAAGTAACATGTTACTATGCTCTAGTCCTTGCACCCCCCCCCCCTATCCTTTACCCACACCCACTGTCACAATTCAAAAACAGCCCACACCCGCATCATTCATTCACAGAGTGCTGTGAATGAATGAACTATCATCTTCCACCGTGGCAGATGGCTTATAGTTCTCAATGAGCTATAAAGGCATTTTACAGGCTGCAGTGTAAAAAAAATAGCAAATTTTATTGCAAAAGTGAACTTATTCTTTAGGGAAAAAAGTATAAACCAGGAAGAAAATTAGCTCTAGACTTCAAGACAACCTTGTATCTGTGTAGAATGAGAAAAGGTTCTTTGCAAGACAATGCCACAAATTCAGACATTCATCTCCCAGAGGTGGTAGCAATAGGGAAGGGTGAGTGAGAGTTGACAGAGGAATATTTGTAATAGGTTCAAAGGGTGATTTTTGAAGAGCAACAAAACCAGTTCAGATCCCATGGAGTCACAGCTGGATGCACAGGTGGAACTGTATGTGCTACGCCCTGTGCAAAGGTCTTTACCACAAAGGGAGAGAAAACCAACCAAGAGTTGATCCAAACTAGATTGGATCAGGATGGATCCCACAGAGTGCTTCCTGCTATGAAACTGCCTTGTCTTGCACTGTGAAGTGAAGTATGCTTTCAAAGTGTGATGGTAGACCTTATGAAAGGTAGGTTTTCTAGCTTTCCTTACCTTTTAAATGTTGATAATGGTACTTCATTTTTATATTTTCTAAATGCTCTCTTCTTATTAATTATATGTAACTTTGGACATGAGACGCATAGGTTTTGTTTTTAGCTTTTCATACTCATTGTCCATGGGAATATATTTACAGTGTGTTTGCTTATAGTTGATTTGAAGAATTCCCATTTCTGTTCTGTGTTCTTTAATAACAATATTCTCTCCCAGTTTAAGTCTTGGAGAGCATCCCGCAGCTTTGTAAAATTTGCTCTTTTAAAATGAAATGTTTTTTTATCCTTTCCAGCATGAGATGTTGTTTACAGCTTACATTAACCGCTTCTCAACTGCCCTATAGCAGATATACAGCTACAGGGCAACAGGGGTGTGCAAAAATCACGTATATATACGTGATTGTGTGTTTCCAGGTAGGGGGTGCGTGCCCTACCTGCACCACCATTCGCCGCCACGGCTGTCAGTCACCGGGTCCCAGCTGGTGACTACCCACTGATGCTCAGTGATTACCAAGCATTTCTGATGGGGAGGAGGACTGCTTTGTTTACTAACAGTCCTCCTTCCTATGAGCTCAGGCACACTGCTCTGGATGGCTGTGCACAGCACAGCACAGCCATCCAGAGCAGTATGATTACAGTGACGCCCACACACACTTCCCCTTATGTAAAACACTCCCTGCACACAATTAACCCTTTGATCGCCACTCATGTTAACCCCTTCCTGCCCAGTGCCATTAGTACAGTGTCAGTGCTCTTTTTTAAGCTCTGATCACTGTATTGGTGTCACTGGGGATATCAGTAACACCAAGTCAGTTCCCCCCAGTGTCAAAATACCCACTGCAGTCCCGCTATAAGTCGTTGATTGCCGCCATTACTAGTAAAAAAAAAAATTCCAGTATCTACTGTATACCGCTATTTGTAAACTCTATAACTTTCACGTAAACCAATTCATTTACACGTATTGGGATTTTTTTTTTTAGCAAAGACGTGTAGCAGAATACATTTTGGTGTAAATTTATGATGAAATCTGATTTTTTAAATTTGTTACTGGACATGTTTAATAGCAAAAAGTCAAAAATATTGTTTTTTGTCTCAAAATTGTCGGGTTTTTTTTTATAGCGCAAAAAAAAAAAAAAGCACAGGCGATCAAATACCACCAAAAAAACTCAATTCGTGGGAAAACAGGCTGTAAATTTAATATGAGTGCAGCGTTGCATGACTCTGCAATTGTCAGTTAAAATAATGCAGTGCCATAACGCAAAAAATAGCCTGGTCAAGAAGGGGGGGTAAATCCTCAGGAGGGTAAGTGGTTGAATGAAATCATGTTATGGTCACTGCTACCTAAATGTTTGTTTATGTGAACATTAGTAGTAAGCTCTGCATGGTTTGAAATTTGAGATTTACAAAATGTACCATAAAATTGTTATGTAATAGGTTTATACATTTTCTGCCCTCTTACTGTTCCAACACTGCCATTACTCCAGTGACAGAGCACACACGTATTTTCCGCAGATTCCTGCAGAAAACACATAGACTAACCCATTCATTTCAAAGGGCTGCCCTATGAGCAAGAAACAACAAAAAATGTCACTGATTTGTCTGAAAAATAGCTTCACACTTGTATGCATGGTGCTGCAGCACCATGCATTTTGGCAAGAGAAAAAATGTGCACATTAGCAGTTGCATGGGGGTGCCATTAGGAAAGAATATAAGTAAATAGAAAAAACTCTGTGCAACCCCCAATGTGTAAAACTTTTCCAAATCAAGTTGGTATCTCAATATCGTGATAAATGAATCAGTAAATTATCTTACCATTATATATATAAACCCATATCTACTACTGTATATGCAATGTTCAAAATATGCAAAGCCAAAATAAATAATTCTAAACTCCGTAAATGTGCAGGTGAGAGAGTTCCATTTCTGCTGTAATACTATGAATGTAGTACACAGCCTATAAATTCCTGACTGACTCTGTGTCCTCCAATACAAAAAGTCCCACATTCACCAATGTCATCACTCTTCAGTGAATACCACAACCATTCACTCTCCACACTCACTTTAACTCTCAGACCTAATGCAGGTCACCATGTGGTTTCTGCTTTAAGGGGTCTTTTTGGCCACTCCAGATATCCGAGTACTTCCTCCGGATTCCTCCTCTAATATTGCCAATTATGTAAAATCACCCCAGTAAGCATTCCACCTTCAATAGCGCTCAAAAGAATAGAAACTACACATAGATTTTTTTTCCACTTAAAAATACCATTGATTATTTATTAAAACTCATTAAAATACACTCACAATGTTAGTGCACTAATCTCCAGTAGTGCACTACCTTAAAAACATATTATTAGGTATGTAAGTACATGTCCTCTTAAGGGTAAGACTACAGCATCACCAGTCAGTTGTATCCAGGTAGCTCCTTCTGGGTGACGTGATGGCATTTCCAAACTCCACCCTGAAGGAACTGACGAAACGAGGCAGCCCAGAGTTTGGAAACACCTGTGCATTAATGTATGCTGTGTTATTGCAGCATATTTGTTTTAAATGGCATGCCAACACTCCCCAGAATGCTGAAATCTGGACCTGACCCTTTGTCACTATTGCAGTTTTGCAGCGAGCTGCAACGCAGGTCTGAATGCTGCAGTACTATGCAATGTGATAATGCATGCATTATTGCAGCACAAAGGTGTGAACCCAGCCTAAAGGTATTTTAGTTTTTCATGGAAAATGGACCCCTATTTCCTAACCTAACCTAAACCCTTGTACAGTGGCATTGATTGGTTCTCCTATTTGGCAATGACTCATCTAATAGATTAGTGAGTGCCCAAAAATAAAAATATAGTGGGGGGGGGGAGTGACTTTCTCATTAAAAGAACAGCAAATGTATCTGCTGGAAAAATATTTATTTGTAAGATAAAAATGTTATGCAAATAACTAAAAATATACAACTTCAGTTTATAAATATGCAAACGTTTTAAAATTTACATAGAATTGACCAAGAGCTTCAAGTAAACTAGTTTCCACAGAAAGTGAACTTTTTAACTTTAAGAATAGACCCTATAGCATGGTATACTTACCTTTCCATCGCTTGCCCACCATTCTACTCACCACTAGGAGACGAAACCCTGTGGAAGCAATGAGTTGGTCCCAGTCAGAACTTAGAGCTGATTCACAAATGTGCAATGTGGATTGAAGCTCAGGTTTCATAGCTAATTGATACAGTAGTTGTTCAGCAGTTCATGTCAGGTTTACAATAGGTTCAGAACAGGTTTAGCTCAGGATTTTATCCTTTTCACACATATAGAAAAGATTCCCATAGAAGTCAATAGCCTGAAATCCGTACCTGAACCTGTAGGCACTGCTCAGAAATTGTACAGGACTCTTTTTTGATTCTTTTACAAACCACACTAACTCTGCACCGCCATTGCACCAGACATATGTAAGCAGGCACCATAGTAAGCAAAGTTATTTCACATGTCATGCAGATTGGATGCAGTTCAAATTGCATCCAATACTCATATTTGTGAACCAGCACTTACACAGGGCTAAGTGCCCCGTGTGATATTTTAATCATACTTCAAGCCCCAGAAATGGAGATAAACTTGTAAATTGTAGATCTATATATACAATCCAATATAAACTATAAGGTTTTTTTTTTGTTTTGTGCAGAGTTCTTCTTTCAGACAGTACCTGCAATACACGCGGTCATGAAGCAAGCCACTGTACCAGCAATCATAGCTCTGATAGCACCTGCGGCAATGTCACTTTTTCTGTTTGGGGCCATGGAGCCTAAAACACACAAGCAAAGTTAACATGATGAAACATATAAAAACATCCAAGCAATATGGTATTGGTGTATTAAATGTCCAAATACTAAATAATTGTGGTCATCCTCACAAGTGGTGTAAAGTTCTGTAATGTATCCTTTAGGCTAGTAACACCTTAGATTTGATTAATTTTCTTGGATTTGTATGATTATCTTGATTTCTACTTATTAGCTCTTTGAATTATAGCATGAATATTGTGTGCTGCAATTGCACTGTACTGTAAACAATAATTTGAGTAGTAAAAAAATGGGCATTCACAGAAGAGGATCTTTCAGCAACTTGAAAATTCATTTTGGCTGATATGTCCTGTTCTGATTTAATTTGTACAGCAAAGGTTTTTTTCTTAACACACCGCCCATTGAATTAGTGCAATCTCTCTCTGCTTGTACAATTGTACAGCAAATGCAAAGGTATGATAGATGATCAACACTCATGAAATAATAGTAAAACCTATTTTATATATTTATTTATTACATCGGGTTAAAAGCATCACACAATCTATGAACAGATACTGCATTGCTGGTGCATAATGCATTCTGACCTTTGTAAAATCTGCCATGCAAAAGACATAGAAAGTATTTAAATACTCTGTACTTTAATTAAACCCCTCTGCTTTTCCAATTTTACCCAATCAAGTTCAAACTCTAAAGGAGACTAAGGTTAAATGAACAGGATCACATTGGAGGGTTAAATGTTAAAATATTTATATCACAATTTGAAACCTTATAATACACAGTATATGTCTAAAAACTAGAAAAAAGTAAAAAAAACAACTTCAAAATAAGAACAACACTGCTTGATATATAGACAGATATAAACAGTCATGTGAAAAAAAGTAGATGTATCCCATGGAAACTGTTGACTTTTTCAACATAATTGAACAGGCAAACATTATATCTTGAGTCAATTAGATAAAGGTGATATACAAAGTACTTGACTAATGACAAATAAAATTGACATGATGTATTCATTTATAATATAATTGAGCAAAAACTCAGCCTTGTCATATGGAAAAAATAAGTACAATACTATATTTACCACCAAAGCCATAAAATTAGAATCCAGGATTCAAGATTAGGTGTCAAGATTAGAACCTCCTATTTAAACCTCAGACATCTAGAGGTTTATTTACTAAACCTGGAGAGTACAAAGTCAGGCTCACGTCTGCATAGAAACCAATCAGCTTCTAACCTCAGCTTGTTCAGTTAAGCTTTGGCAATGAAACCTGGAAGCTGATTGGTTTCTATGCAGAAGTGAGCCTGACTTTGTACTCTCCAGGTTTAGTAAATAAACCCCCTAGGGTCAGGTGTTTTCTTTTTCTATTTACATATGTGGTATTATCATGTCCAGATCAATAATAATCTAGGGCCCTCAAAAAAAAAAGTTGTGGATGCTTACATGTCTGACAAGGGATTTAAAAAGATTACCAAATGATTTGAAATTAATAATTCAATTGTAAGGAAACTAAACTACAGGTGATATAGATTTCCAACAACTGCTAATTTGTCCAGGACAGGCTGGACCAGAGAAATCAAGCCAAGAGCTGACCATTTGGTGCTAAAAGAAGCTCAAAATGTAATTGAGGGAAATTGAGATGTTCAGTCAACTCTTACAACAGTTGGGGTCAAATTGTGTGTGTCTACAAGCAGAAAGAGATTGCACTAATTCAATGGGAGGTGTGTTAAGAAAAAAACCTTTGCTGTCCAAAAAGAAAATTAATGCAAGAATACAGTTTTGCCATTGAGCGTATAAGCAAAGACCAGGTCTTCTGGAGCAATGTGCTGAAGACTGATCTAATAAAGATAGATTTGTTGGTCAATGTAAGAGTAGACTTGTTTGCCACAAACTTGGGGTGTACTTCTTTTTCAGAAGATTGTATAGGCCAGCTGAAATGTTATACTAGAAACTGAATTAAATTATTATCCAATCCTGGAATACTTAATCTTAGAAAACTATATCAACACAAATACTTTGACATTCCACCCTATTATATGATCCTGTCCATTTAACTTTAGTCTCCATTGGAGTTTGAATTAGGTGGGCAAGTAAATACAATACAAGTTTACTATAAATTAACTTGTTATAAGGGTGGGGCATTGTTAATGCATATTCGGTAATTTCCTTTAAACAGATCCAACAGGTACATTTTTTTTCAAGGAAAAAAAAAGTTGAATACATACTCAGTCCTCCAATTGTTATTCCCAAAGAGCCAAAATTAGCAAATCCACATAAGGCATATGTTGCAATAGTTTCTGAACGAATCTATTTTAAATAACAGAACATATGTTAAAACATTATGGTATTCTATAAATAGCCTGTAACTAAATGCTATCGGGTATCAAGCGTGTTTCTAGCAGAAGATTCCTTTTGGTGTTGATGTACTAAAACTGGAGAGTGCAAAATCTGGTGCAGCTCTGCATAGAAACCAATCTGCTTTCAGATTTTTTTTGTCAAAGCTTAATTGAACAAGCTGAAGTTAAAAGCTGATTGCCTACCAAACACAGCTGCACCAGATTGTGCACTCTCCAGTTTTAGTAAATCAGTTCCGTTGACTTTTACGTTGCTTCAAATATGACATTTTGGCTATATATGGAAAGATTAAGTATAAAATGCTAAATAAAAAGGTGATCTTCGTTACTTTTTAAGTTGATCTGTATGCTGCTACCTGCTATGTGTATGCTTACATATTATTTATCAATATAGTAGTATTGAACATAGGTTACCTAGAGATAGGGCACCACATTTTTATTGCATTATTCATAATTATAGAAAGCTCCCACATACCGACATATACTGCTTCACTCCATCAATGAAGAGAGGCACATTGTTCTTCCTCTTTGTTATAAGTCCAGCCAGGTATTCATATGCAACAAATTCATTAAAAAATGTCTTGTATCCTATAAGTTTGCCAACTATGAAGCTGTCCTCCCAATCCACACCCATCATGAAGGAGAATGGCATAAAGACATAGGAGCATATTATCTGACCATAGACAAGAACAATGTACTAAAGTTAGTTTAATTGGAAATACAAGGTTAGAGGAACATGAGAATGCTGAAACATTTGATCTAACAATAAAGACTAAAAATAAACATGAGAAAGCACATTGTTTTCTATAGACTACCAGAAATTACTTGGGTATGCTAAGACTAAAAACTTGTGAACTTTTCAAGATCTTTCCGATAAGGCAATTAAAATAGTTACTTTTAGAATAAAATAGCACGTCTCTAACTGCTAAATGATTTAGAACACATTAACAAATTGAAAAGGAAACTTTTACAAAGCAGTTGACATTTACAAGTCCCACAGTGTTGTTTACATACAATGGCATTGTATCTTCTCCCTTGCACGTCTGAGCTTTACAATGGGAATACAGGGACATGGGGATATTCTTGCATGCTGGCTTGCATCAAATAATGTCCCAACTTGACTGATATTTTGTTTTCCCTTGTTCCCCTATTTCCCAGCTTTAGGAGATGATAGAGTCTCCTGTGACATAACGTGCAGGGTGGAGCATAGAGAGCAGTAATCAAGCATTGAAGGGAAGGCTCATTCACACCCCAGCTACAGCTACAAAGAGCAGTGAGCAGGGGGAAGCTGCCTTCTTTCACTGGAACTGATCACAAATGAGCCGTTTTTCATCATTTTTAAACAGTAAGCCCTATTTTGTTTCCTTTTCTCCTTGAGAAAACCTTTTGGGAGTATCCTTTATTATCAGCAGAAGAAACAAACATGATTATCTTGTGCAGCTTATCTTGGTTGTCTTAAAGGGAACCTGCCCAATAGACCTTTTATAATTTTAAGGTCCGACTGTGGAGGGGAGCCTGTATCTACAGGGGATCAGTGAAGGCTGTTTGCAAGCTCATTTTTCACTGTATACAGTATGAAGAGCACTTAAAGGAAATTGGAAACTACAATTGTATCAGAACCCGGGTCTGAAATTGCGACCTCTGCTGTGTCTGGCGATATCTTTTCCTGCTTAGCCACCTGAGATGCTGGACAGCACCCTGTTTGATCCATTGAACAACCCTGACTTGTGCCTTTTTTCTGTTGAACATTGAACTCCTTGCTGCTCCCATGAACGTCCTATTTAAGCCATGCCTTTGAATTTCATGCTTGTTAGATTTTTGTGCTCTCTCCAGCCAATATCTTGCTGTCATCACTCTTGTCACTCCTGCTACCGCCTGTATCTCCACTACCACTTGCTACTGACTTTTGACTTGTTCCTCAACTATTCTCTGCTTAATCCCAATCTGAGACCACTTATTACCGATCTTTGGCTTGTTTACTGACTACACTTCTGCTTGATCCCTACCTGCTATATCTGTTACTAAGCCCCAGCTTACTCACCTCCTCATAGGGTGATGCTGAAGACCACATACTGATACTAACACACAGAAAAACCCATCTTCACCATTAGAAGCTCTGGTGAACACCAGTTAGTACTTAGATTCTGCACCTCGGGTGAGTCCATATCATCCGCCAGGATGACCTGCTGCTGCACATATCCAGCTGGTCAGTGGAAGCCTCTCTCCTGCTATAGCTACTGGCCTCTGAACCTGACCCTTGACCATGACAAATTGACTTGAAGAATTGATTTGGATATTTGGATTTTCACATGCAACTGACATTTTGGAGGGTTGGAAAAAAGTTTTGCTATTTCATTTGGTTTAATTGGTTGATCAGCATTTTGGTGATTTTCATAATTTTCACTAGTTTGACTTATTGAGTGTCATATGTGTATGTTATACTTTACTGGTGAGGTGAGAATGAGTGATATCTAGTGGCAATAGTTCAGTGTTTTTTCTGATTAGGTATTTCAGGAAATGATTGACACATTTGCACAGAATGTTTTTTATAGATAGACCTAAAAGGCTGCTGGGAATGTTGACCTTTATTGGGAAAGGGTTGGCAACTATGAAAACAACCATTATTGGCCCTTCCAAGCCACCTGACCACAGTTCAAAGGCCGGGATATACTTTATTGATAATTGGTTGCTGTGGGGAAAAATGGTTGCATTGGTTCTCTGTTTTCCTAAACTGAAAATGACATCTATAAATTAAACAAAAAAAAAAATTTTTCAAAAACATTTGTGTCAACGAAATTAAATAAAGTAACACTAAAGGCTAATTTTTTTTATTAAATTTAACAAACATGTCACACTTACCTGCTCTGTGTAATGGTTTTGCATGGAGCGGCCCCTATTCTCCTCTTCTCTGGTCCCCACTAAGTGCCCCAAAAGCAAGCATGCATGCTCGCTCCTGAGCCACCTCTGTGCTTCTATAAGACGCACAGAGTGCAACTCAGACCCCCCCTCCCCTGGCTCCTCACTGGCTGTGATTGGCATAGAATGCATGAAAGTAAAAAACCTTCAGTCTTTACAACCACTTTAAGGCCCCTTTCAGATTTGAAGGGCCCGTCAGTGGATAAGGCCCCTTTCAGATTGGAAGGACCTGGATCCGCTTGCTCAGTGGGGGATCTCTCTGCTGATCCCCATTGAGCAGGCGGATGATAGGTCTGTGTCCACTCTGCTGCTGCAGAGAGGGCACAGACACAGCCAGCTGTTTTCTATGGGGTGGTTGGACAGACTGCCTATCTGTTTCCACCCGACTGTGATCCGATCCGCCGGTTGGATGGGGAAAAGATCCCATCCATCTGTTTTTAGCGAACAGGATCAGATCGGATGCCGCTCCATATGGATGGTATGATTGGGTCTGCCTGAAAAACTGACAGGCAGACCCGATCAGATCGCCAGTGTGAAAGGGGCCTAATGCTTAAAAAATAAGCTAAAAAAGCAGAAAAACATTTGTATAAGCTTGTTTACTCACAATAACAAAAGACATGAGAGATCTTTGAATATGAAATAATAAGCTAGATAATTGGTCTCCAAACTTCTGCCTGGGGACCAGATGTAGCCCTTTGCTTGCTTTTATTCAGCCCTTGGTGTACTATTTCATCCACTGATACAAACTATGGAGCATACTTCCCCCCACTGACACCAATGATGTGGCACAATTCCTCCTAATGACACCAACGATGGGGTACAATTCCTCTCAATGATAACAACGATGGGGTACAATTCCTTCCAATGATACCAACGATGGGGTACAATTCCTCCCAATGATACCAACAATGGGGCACAATTCCTCCCAATAAAAACAACGATGGGAGACAATTTCTTCCCAATGACACCAACAATGGGACAAAAGTCCTCCCAATGACACCAATGCTGGGGCACAATTCCTCTCACTGACACCAATGATGGGGCATTGCTTCTACCCACTGATGTCAGGACCTTTTCTACTCTCATTGGCACAGTCCATCTCCTCTAAAGTTGGAAAGAACGTAAACTAGCCCTTTGTTTAGAAAATTTGGAGGCTCCAGAGCTAGATGGACCTGAAAAAGGTGTTACAATCATATATATTAAACAGACAACAATAAAATGTATTTATATCAAAACATTTAAAAATAAAGTTCTCTTATATTAAAAAAACTCACTTCAATTTCATAACTGTACTTTATACCTCTTCATATAGTATATATTAACAATGCTTACCTCAAAACTCAACTGTGGATAATCAAACATATTTCCCAGCCAGGAGAGGGCAGCATTGAAAAAGGATAAGAGTGAGAGAAAGGCCATCAAATTCACTGCTATATTTGCTACCAAAGGGATTGATGCAGAAGCTCCTTGACTTGCAGCTTCCAGAATGTTTCTTGCATCCCTAATGCAAAGAAGCCAATATTAGTATTTACATACAGTATATACCTATTATTCAGAAAAATGTAAAATACATGTAATAGAAAGCAGTTCCTCCTAGTGATGAATTCTGACATTTGATGCTCTATGAAAAGATATTTTGCTGGACAAGATGGGTATGCAGCAAACTAAGGCTTACATATTGAAAGGAAAAGATGTGGCTGATAAGTATTAAGGAGGGGGGGCTAAGTATGAAGGAAGATGCAATTGTTTATAGTTTAACTCCAGTCAAAAGGTTTTTTTTTTTGTACTTTTGGATACATTGTGGGAAGACTAGAACCCTTGTCAACCGTTTTTTTTTGTTTTACTGTCTGAGGTCTCAAGGAGATTTTACCTGACTTTCTGTCTCAGAAACATTGTTGTCATTAAAAAAGGAAATGAGAAATGAGATAAGCTGTTCAAAGGAGACAAAGATAGCAATAAAAAGCTGACGGTGGTTCTTGGACTCCCCTACTCTATAATGTTTTTTTTTTTTGCAGTCTGTGTCCCTCTTTGAAATTTTGCTCTGCTTTCACAGCTGATGACACATTGCAAATATTTATTTTTCTGTTAAGTTTTTCACCATTTTGTTACTGTAGCTGTATTACCAGTAGACATGTGTAATTCATTTATGAATTGGAATTTAGACAAAATGTTTCGTTATTTGGAGATTTGGATATATCCAAATCTCTGAATCACAATACTAATGAATTTCAACAAGTCCAAAATAAATTATAATGAAAAAGAACAAATTAATTAGTTTAATTTGTTTGAGACTTCAGAGGGTTTTGTAAGGGTCCTTTCACATGGCCGTTCGGTTTTTTTTCTTCAGTTCAGTCACGTTTTTTTCAAATAAAAAATGGATTAGTTTACATCCTTTTTTTCATCCATTTATATCAGTTTTTTCATCAATTTTTTTCATCTGTTTTTCATTTGTTTGCATCCGTTTTTTTATCCATTTACATTGGTTTACATCCGTTTTCATCTGTTTATGTATGTTTACATCTGTTTTGGTCCATAAATATCTGTTGATATACGTTTTTCATCCGTTCTGGGATTTTTTGGGGGAAGAAAATAGGGTTTTCTTCTGTTGAAAAAATGGATGTTAACTGATGCGAACATTAATGGATGTAAAAAGATGTTCATCCGTTTACATATGCAAGTCCATAGAAATACATGGGGGTCCGTTTTTCATCCGTAAACGGACAGATGAAAAACAGACATACAGGACGCCCGTGTGAAAGAGAAGTTTAGTAATATGTATCACACTCTCTAGAGATGAGCGAATTATTCAAAAATTCAATTCGGCTGATTCACCGAATTCGCAGAATAAAATCGATTCGAGGCGAATATATTCGCTGCGAATTTAACTTATAAAAAGGGTGTTTCTAGGCTTCAGAGAGCCTTTATATTAGTGCAGAACACTGTACCTTTAATTTAAATGCCCTTGGAGTCTGCTGGGGAAGAGAACTAATACTGTCAGTCAGTATGACATGCAGATGAGTGCCGTCGATCTTAGAATCACCGCACACTTCACTCATTTGGGCAGTCACGGGGCCAAAACCAGAGTGTGGAGCCACAGTGTGGCGGTGGAGGCAGCAGCAATGGGAGGCCATAGAGCACCCTATGACAAAATGGAACCCACCCTGAAAGCAGTGTGAGGACACCAATGGGAAAGTGGCACATGGCAGAGTGTGGGGATGGGGCCTATGACAGCAGCAATGGGAGGCCGTGGATACAGGGACCCATGACAAACTCTGGACCTGGCAGCAGCAAGAGGAGGCGGTACAGGGGCCCATGACAGATTACGGGCCATGGCAGCAGCAGTGGTGGGGCGGTGGATGCAGCAGTATTCGGAAGCCAAACACAGGCCTCGGTTAAAAAGCGGAAGCCGTCAGCAGCGTGAGCAGACGACAGAGACACATGGCGCAGGGTGGCGGTGGAGGCAGCAGTATTCAATGCCAAGGCCATACAAAGCAAGCCCTATCGACAAAATGGAAGGCAGCAGCAACAAGGCCAACAGTGTAAAAATGGAGACCCACCAAAGACCTGAAAGGGCACATGGCGCAGGGTGGCGGTGGAGGCAGCAGTATTCGGAAGACATACACAGGACTAGTTTAAAAAGCGGAAGCCGTCAGCAGCGTGAGCAGACGACAGAGGCACATGGCGCAGGGTGGCGGTGGAGGCAGCAGTATTCGGAAGCCATACACAGGCCTAGGTTAAAAAGCGGAAGCCGTCAGCAGCGTGAGCAGACGACAGAGGCACATGGCGCAGGGTGGCGGTGGAGGCAGCAGTATTCGGAAGCCATACACAGGCCTCGGTTAAAAAGCGGAAGCCGTCAGCAGCGTGAGCAGACGACAGAGACACATGGCGCAGGGTGGCGGTGGAGGCAGCAGTATTCGGAAGCCATACACAGGCCTAGGTTAAAAAGCGGAAGCCGTCAGCAGCGTGAGCAGACGACAGAGACACATGGCGCAGGGTGGCGGTGGAGGCAGCAGTATTCGGAAGCCATACACAGGCCTAGGTTAAAAAGCGGAAGCCGTCAGCAGCGTGAGCAGACGACAGAGACACATGGCGCAGGGTGGCGGTGGAGGCAGCAGTATTCGGAAGCCATACACAGGCCTAGGTTAAAAAGCGGAAGCCGTCAGCAGCGTGAGCAGACGACAGAGACACATGGCGCAGGGTGGCGGTGGAGGCAGCAGTATTCGGAAGCCATACACAGGCCTAGGTTAAAAAGCGGAAGCCGTCAGCAGCGTGAGCAGACGACAGAGACACATGGCGCAGGGTGGCGGTGGATGCAGCAGTATTCGGAAGCCATACACAGGCCTAGGTTAAAAAGCGGAAGCCGTCAGCAGCGTGAGCAGACGAACAGAGGCACATGGCGCAGGGTGGCGGTGGAGGCAGCAGTATTCGGAAGACATACACAGGCCTAGTTAAAAAGCGGAAGCCGTCAGCAGCGTGAGCAGACAACAGAGACACATGGCGCAGGGTGGCGGTGGAGGCAGCAGTATTCGGAAGCCATACACAGGCCTAGGTTAAAAAGCGGAAGCGTCAGCAGCGTGAGCAGACGACAGAGACACATGGCGCAGGGTGGCGGTGGAGGCAGCAGTATTCGGAAGCCATACACAGGCCTAGGTTAAAAAGCGGAAGCCGTCAGCAGCGTGAGCAGACGACAGAGACACATGGCGCAGGGTGGCGGTGGATGCAGCAGTATTCGGAAGCCAAACACAGGCCTAGGTTAAAAAGCGGAAGCCGTCAGCAGCGTGAGCAGACGACAGAGGCACATGGCGCAGGGTGGCGGTGGAGGCAGCAGTATTCGGAAGCCATACACAGGCCTAGGTTAAAAAGCGGAAGCCGTCAGCAGCGTGAGCAGACGACAGAGACACATGGCGCAGGGTGGCGGTGGAGGCAGCAGTATTCGGAAGCCATACACAGGCCTAGGTTAAAAAGCGGAAGCCGTCAGCAGCGTGAGCAGACGACAGAGACACATGGCGCAGGGTGGCGGTGGAGGCAGCAGTATTCGGAAGCCATACACAGGCCTAGGTTAAAAAGCGGAAGCCGTCAGCAGCGTGAGCAGACGACAGAGACACATGGCGCAGGGTGGCGGTGGAGGCAGCAGTATTCGGAAGCCATACACAGGCCTAGGTTAAAAAGCGGAAGCCATCAGCAGCGTGAGCAGACGACAGAGACACATGGCGCAGGGTGGCGGTGGAGGCAGCAGTATTCGGAAGCCATACACAGGCCTAGGTTAAAAAGCGGAAGCCGTCAGCAGCGTGAGCAGACGACAGAGACACATGGCGCAGGGTGGCGGTGGAGGCAGCAGTATTCGGAAGCCATACACAGGCCTAGGTTAAAAAGCGGAAGCCGTCAGCAGCGTGAGCAGACGACAGAGACACATGGCGCAGGGTGGCGGTGGATGCAGCAGTATTCGGAAGACAAACACAGGCCTCGGTTAAAAAGCGGAAGCCGTCAGCAGCGTGAGCAGACGACAGAGGCACATGGCGCAGGGTGGCGGTGGAGGCAGCAGCAATGGAAGGCCATACAGCACCCTATCACAAAAAGGAACCCACCAACAGTGTAAGGAGACCTGAAAGTGGCACATGGCGCAGGGGGTGGCGGTGGAGGCAGCAGTATTCGGAAGACATACACAGGACTAGGTTAAAAAGCGGAAGCCATCAGCAGCGTGAGCAGACGACAGAGGCAAATGGCGCAGGGTGGCGGTGGATGCAGCAGTATTCGGAAGCCAAACACAGGCCTCCTCGTTTAAAAAGCGGAAGCCGTCAGCAGCGTGAGCAGACGACAGGCACATGGCGCAGGGTGGCGGTGGAGGCAGCAGCAATGGGAGGCCATACAGCACCCTATGACAAAATGGAACCCACCAGCAGTGTGAGGAGACCTGAAAGTGGCACATGGCAGAGTGTGGCGATGGAGACAGCAGCAATGGGAGGCCGTACAGGGACCCATGACACACTCTGGACCTGGCAGCAGCATGAGGAGGCGGTACAGGGGCCCATGACAGATTACGGGCCTGGCAGCAGCATGAGGAGTCGGTACGGGGGCCCATGGCAGATTACGGGCCTGGCAGCAGCATGAGGAGGCGGTACAGGGGCCCATGGCAGAGTGGCGGAGCGTAAGCAGCTAAAATTGAAGGCCATACAGAGGCCTATGTTAAAAAGTCCCCCCAGCAGCAGCGTGGGGAGACGACTAATGGTCTGTGCTGCCCTTTGGTGTCTGGCTTAATGCGCACAACACTGAACGTCCCAGCGTTTGTCAACGATTTGCCGTTAAGTGATGCAAACCCGCTGAACCACGTTCATGAGGAGCCGGTACAGGGGGCCATGAATCAGTATGGACCTGGCAGCAGCGTGAGCAGACGACAGAGGCACATGGCGCAGGGTGGCAGTGTGGGCAGCATTATTCTGAAGCCATACACAGGCCTAGGTTAAAAAGCGGAAGCCGTCAGCAGCAGTGTGAGCAGACGACAGA